CCCACCTGGCTACAACCTCTTTCAGGCAGTTGTAGAGAGCGGTAAGATCTCTCAGCCTCCTTTTCTCCAGGCTAAGCAACCCCAGTTCCCTCAGCCGCTCCTCATAAGATTTGTTTGTGTTCCAGACACTTCACCAGCTTTGATGCGCTTCTTTGGACACGCTCCAGGACATCAATGTCTCTTGTACTGAAGGGCTCAAAACTGAAGACAGTATTCGAAGTGTAGTCTTACCAGTGCTAAATACAGGGACACAATCACTTCCCTAGTACTGCTGGCCACACTATTTCTGATAAAAGCCAGGATGCTGTTGGCTGCCTTGGCCACCTGGGCATGGAGCTGGCTCATATTCAGCTGGCTGTCGACCAACACTCCCAGGTTCTTTTCCACCAGATAGCTTTCCAGCTGCTCTTCCTCAAGCCTGTAGTGTTGCATGGGGTTGTTGTGATCCAAGTGCAGGACCTGGCTCTTGGCCTTGTTGAACTTCATACAACTGGCCTCTGCCCGTTGATCCAGCTTGTCCAGATCCTTTTGTAGAGCCTTTGTACCCTCAAGCAGATCAATATTCTGTCCAACTCTGTGTTGTCTGTAAAAATTAGTTCTTGATGTTTATGAATGGTTGTGAAGAGTATGAATAGGAGGATTAAAAAACCCCAAGAATCATTGATGATTATTATGGCTTTACAATAAATAAATAGTGTTCATGGGAGTGACAAAAGAAGCCCAGCATTTAATGATTTAATGAACTGTGGAGCAATACTTAGGTTTCAAATGAGTTTATGGCTTGAATAATGAATCAGTAATGTCCATAAGAATGACAAAAGGAGCCCAACACTTGATTTAAGAAGTTGTGCAGTAGTACTTTAGGTTTGAAATGTTTTGGCTTGTGAGTAAATAGACGTATGTCAGTAGGAATAGCAAGCAGCACTCATCATTGGTTTTTCATTGGAAGTGTGGTAGTCTTCTTGATCTTCCCACAGAAATCAAGTGCTCTTAATTTACTGTGTGTGTTTCTTTCCTTAATGAAAACCAGGTATTTGTTCTAGGTAAGACTGATTTGTGTATGCTGACTTTTTGCATTTCATGCTCTCACCAACTTATTCTTTCCCTGACAGATGAATGAATGTCTTTAAATTATCTAAGCATGCAGATACTGGTGCTCCACATGTAATGGCTAAAATGTAAAGAATGATTCTTTTATTTTTTTATATTAAACTGTTAACTGCAGGAAAGCCAGTCACTGACATCAGGCAGAGAAATCTGGTAAGATTATTAGTAACAGGATAGCTGTATATATGATAGGTAAGGATTAGATGAAAATTACACTGGAACTAGAAGACCCGCCTAAGTGAGGGAAGTAGATTCCAGGCAATTGTGTGCCATATAAAATCAGTAAATTATTTTAATTGCAAATAAAAGCTGGACGTGCAAAAGTGCAAGTGTGAGAGGTCTAAAAGGAAACATGAGGAAACTATAACGCCTGTCAGTGGGCAAGTAGCTTTACATAATGAGTACCTCATGTGTGCAGGGGAACATCAGATCAAAGAGAATCTGTACTAGCTGGATGTAAACTGTACAGAAAAGATAGTTAAAGTTGGGGACAGGCAGGACTATATGTCAAAAATTAGATTTCAAGAATATGTTTTCAGTATGGAAACTATCAACAGAAATCTAAAATTATGGGTTTGGAACTATGCTGTTGACTGTAAAGTGCAAATCTCATCAACTGTGCAATATTCTAGAAAGCATCTGACTGTGAGAAACAGTAATGATGGGTGACTTCATCTTGTCTGTATGCAGATGGTGTCCTTGCTACTGAATTTCCCAAACAAACAGTTTTAACACAGTGGAAGCTGTTGTGCAGACAGGACTTGTGCATGAGAGATGTTGCCTGTTCATCATTTTGGTCCCCATTTGTAACATCATACCTTCTCTTTTTGCCATTTGATAAACAGAATTTAAGACATCTTTAATTACACAGGCACTCCTTTTATTTTATTGTTTAGGAACAATTTCAGATCTAATTGCAGATGAGGTGATACATTTTTACAGAGTTGCAAGTGGCCCTTGTACTGAGGGGTTACCAGAGTAGTCTTATGAAGGCCAGAGTGGATAGAAATGCAGTACAAAGTTATGTGTTATGCCACAACTCTCCATATTGAATTCAGGATGACTTAAAAATATAAACTGTTTGGAATGATAAGTTCCCAGCTTTGCCCCCTGTTTACCTGGTAGCAGGTCTTGCTAATGTCAGGCTGAAATTAACTGAATGACTGCCTGTGTAAAATGAAGTTTTTGTTTTTAATTAAAACCTTCAAGCTTTGATCATGTATGCCTAGAGCACACCCATTCTCTGGTAGGCTGACCTATTTATTCTTGGCATTAAAAGCCTTGTATTACTTTTACTTCATTATCAGCCATCAAATGCACCTAGTCAGTAATTCATGTTGCAGTTTGCTCAATAAATGGAGTGCATTTCGAGAAAGGCTGTCTTCTTTTCAGAATTGCATCTGAACCAATAAACTAAATTATATAATAAAGAATGTCATCAATGTAAACGAATACCAGATGGGTTGTAAAACATTTAATTTTCGATCAGTGCAAATAGACTGAGATAAACACTGCTGTGGCATATTGTCAGTCACTAGTAAAGCTCAGAAAGGATTCCCACTGGGTGTCCCTATCCTGGAGGATTCCACCTTCGTGCTTGTTTTTCTGTTGTTTTAAGTCTTGCTCTATTTATCCCCATTTGCTCCACGTTATTGCACTTTCAGACACAGTGTGCTGGCCTGGCTGCATTTTGAAGCGTGACAATGCAAGCCAGCACGGTTTTGCTGATGAAAGCCAGAAGGTGTTCCCAGGGAAGGTCTGTGAGCCTGTCAAAGCACGGGCACGACGGAGGCAACGTAGCTGCTTTCTGTATTGTGGAGAGTGGGGTTATTTCTCATGTTATTTTCCCACCCTGGGGGGGAAGGATGTTGTTACCTGGACCAGACCCAGCTTCCTCCAGGGTTGACATAAACAGTGACAGCCAGCGCTTTTTACTCTTAAGATGCGAATGAGTTCTCTAGAAGACTCTTTCAGTTGTGGTCAGTTCAAGACCGTCTGAAGTGCCTTTCCACTGGTAAATTGCAAGGCTAGCATTTTTTTCCACCCAGTTAAACTCTTTTGTTCTGTATTTAAGTTTAAGATATCTCCTAGTACTTCTGTAACAAAGTTTTCTTATCTACATACAGAAACAGTACATACACATACCAGTGGCATGTAGATATGCTTAATCTCAATTGCATCAGAAAAGTTTTCTTTCTTGATGCAAATGACTTCCAGTTCTGAATATGAATTAGCATTATGTTGCAGAAAACCAATACCTTATTTACAAAAATACTTTTTCCTGATTTGTTCTTCTGGGAATGAATTTAAGTAAGACAAACACCTGTCTTGTTGCCTGACAGCTGATGAAAGCATCAAAATCACTGAGTGACTAAGATGACAAGCTATCCCTACACATCAACATATCAGGCTTTTATTGCTGTCTTGGGTATACAAGGAACGTGTATTAAGTGGTGTTTAACAAGGACTCATTCTGTTTGTCAGTTCTATAACATGATCTATATGAAGAAAGGAATAATGTCCCCATGTCAACTGAAGATGAGAAGATTGCAGTAGATATGACCCGTTTTCATAGTATGAAGCTTGTCTTTAGAGAAGCAGACAAATCCAATGGCATGTGTTTTTTCATCACACTGCTAGATGGGGATTAGGCAAGTTTATGTAAAAATTCATGCACTGTTAGTCAGAAAATGATAGTTAAGATTTAAGAAGAAATGTTCTTGTGAAGAAATACAGCTTTTTTTTTCTTAGATGAAGTGAATTACTGTGGTTTTATCCCTGTCATGTTTAACAACTGTGACTGTACAACCATGCAGTATTGAATGGCAAATTACTAAAGGCAGTCTGAAAACATCCCTAACCCTTCAGTGTTGAACCATTTACATGTATTCAAAAGTTATTGGAAATTCATCACTGTTTCAGTAAGGTACTATTATATTCTCTAATAGCTTCAAATGGCTCCTTCAGACATAGACCAATGATTTGTTCTTCAGCAGCTGGCAAAGTAAATGAAAGTTACATGCCTTTATGTGGTGTATGCCTTTTTTAACCATTTAATCAGGAAGATCTCAGAAAAGTATCCTTCCTCATAGCGCCCTGCACTAAGGGTTTTTTTTTTCCCAGAACATGTTGACAGTAAACTCCCCAATGCCAGGTACCATGTAGAGCTAAGTCCAAACCACAAATTCTGCCATGGCATGTTTGCATGTTAACATTCAAGAATTTGAAAAATTCCTTTAATTTTAGGGGTTTAGGGCCTCCCAAAACAAATTTAGAGTTCTTTGGAACAGCAGAATTAGGTTTCAGCCACAAATCCAATTTTGCATTTTCCACTTAGGTGTTTAGGTGAAGGGCAGGCTGATCTTTAGGAAAAAAAAAAAATCAGTGTCCTGATTTTATCACCAGAAAACAGTCACAGAAATACTACACTCTGTGTGATTTTTCTTGTGCCACCGTGGAGAGACTTTGGCAGAAGCAGCAGAACCAAACAGTTTCTTGCTACTCCTTATTTCATGTATGAATCTTGAGCATGTGCTATGAGTGGGTTTGAAATCACTTAAATTTGATTTTTTATTTATGTTTATTATTATGCAGTAATCCATAGCACTGAAAACATGTCATGAAGAAAACAGTGCATTAGGGAGTTAGTGGGGAAAATACTTCAAAATAATAATTTTTAAAATGTTGCTTAATCTCTATGGTAACTAGCTTATTTATTTGCATTTTAATGCATTCTTTTTTTTAACCCATATTTGTCTCATCATTTCATGTTGCCAAATACTCGATCAATGTTATTATTTTGTGTTTAAGGAAATCATGATGGGTTTTTAAGCATTATGTGACTTTCTATTTTTCTATTTATATTAACATGAAGATTTCTTGTTTTCCTCTAGAAAGGTTCTAAAGGAAATCTCTGTTGGAGACCTAAAGCCTAATGAAACTGTTGAAGCAAATCTGGAAGCACAGCTACTCTCCAAATTAGACCATCCAGCCATTGTCAAATTTTATGCAAGTTTTGTGGAGCAAGATAGTTTCTGCATTATCACTGAATACTGTGAGGTGAGACTTGTAGATTACTTTGAAGAAATTTGACAGAATGCGTGCATTAAAATATGCTCTTAAAAGAAACCTAGCCCAGTTTTCTTTAATGTTTTAGTTTATATTTTACTCTTATTTCTTACTTGTGGTATCACCTGCTACTTGTTAGGCATATTTCAAATAAGCAATGTTACCTTCTCACAAGAGATTCGTAGCTCATAGACAAATAAACCGGAGAAGAGAAAACTTTAAACAAAAGTTCATTTTACTCAGTATAATCAGTATTACAGGAAAGACTTAAAACGCAGACACATTACCAGATCTGTGGGTGAACTCAGGTTTTACCAGATAAGTACTACTGATGGATAAGAGAGGATCAAACGGGGAGTGCAGGGGCATGGTATGAAATCTGATGTAAATGAGGAAGGGAAAGCTCTCTGGTGATTTGGAGGTGATTACAAGAAGCTTTAGTCTGATCATGTGGATGATGCATTTGGTAGCAGCATTGACTTTATGATGTGGAGAATAGTGAGAGTCAAAGACCAGAGTGTAGAAGATACAACAGATTTTAGAGCATGATATACTACAGTATAGTTACCAGGTTTTTTTTTACTTTAGCATTTGGTGTAAAAACAAACTGCTAAAAACTGTTTTCAGGCTTTAAAATAAGAATTTATATGTATTTAAGCCAGCTTTTACAGAGTTTCTATAAAACAAGTGCCTACTTTGTATTAAATAGGCTGTTATAAAAATATAATCTGTTACATGTACAGTGATCTTTTTATGAAACTGTGAAGCAGATGTTTCAGTTGTGCCCTGCTAGACTTTTGAAATGCTTTGGAAGCTAATGACCCTAACCTACTGTGTTATCTGTCTGCCAGTCAGACTTGTATTAACTAATCATATTTCTTCAAGCATTCAGCTTTGGTGTAAGTAATTAAAGAACGACTATTTCTGCCAGTAATTTCTTCCTCAGAAGCTTTCTTTGATGACAGTTAAGTGCCTATTTATTGCTGGGATTTTTAAAAATTATATCTAAAATGTTCAATTCTGTTATGCAATCTGAAAATTTGTTCACAATTTCCACTCTGTGGAAATCCAGAGCTCAGAACTATATGATTATTCTAACTGCCCAGATACTCCCATGATTTATTTTCTCTCTACCAGTGGTGGAAAGTGGCCAAACACCAGATCAGTTAAACCAGTAGGAAGAAAGGAGCCTCCTTCAGCAGCATTATAGAGCTGGACTAGTGGCTTTTGTCCACTGCTTTTTTTTTTTTTCCATCTAGAATAAAGTCATAGGTGAATAAAAAAGAGCACATTAGCAGTCACCATAGTAATCGCAAGCTTTTGCAGCAGCCCTTGGGCATTTTTTTTTATTCAGACAATGTAAACTACTTTTTGGTGCGGAGTTACCTAAGGATCTGGGAGTCATATACTCAAACACGTGAGAATGTATTAGAGCAAGGCAAATGAAGGAGGAAGAAATGGGTGTGTTGGCTGTGCAGCTGAATCTTTTCAGTTTTGAGTCTGCTAGGTCAGGCCAGAATGATAGTGGGCTTCTGACTTTTTCCAAAAGGACACACTATGTAGTATCATTGAATTTAAGCAATTACAATGTATTTAATTGAATGTTCAGGCAAGGAAAGTACAAAGCAAGGTTTTGTATAGTGCTGTAAAGTTTCTTTTCTATTTTAGTGGGAGTATTTCCAGAAGGTATACTTCCGTATTTACTTATCTATAACCTGCCTTGGTATGTGGTGGGATTTGAATCTTTTTACCTAAAAGATGCCTGTTTAAATCCTGCATAAATTGAGAATGAAAAATATGTATTGCTATCTGATCCCTGTTTGGAATTCAAGTACATTCAATTTCTCACGCATAGAATTATTACGAGATTGGCAGTAATTGGTATTCTTGGGCAGACTCAAAACAAAGAATAAACATTAAGTTGGCTTGGAAACAGAACTACCCTCTGATCCTTATTCTGTTTCCTCCAAAGTACTGTGACTTATTTGTTAGCCACAGTACTTTTTTCATTCTTGCATAAGTAGCATAGATTGAGCCTCCAGTGCAGCTGCACCATCCTATACCTGTCCTGTGGGCAAAAGAGAATGTTCGTCTCCATTGCTAAGCTCGATGTCTGTAACTAAATAACTAAATAACTTAATAACTAAATTCACTGAAAATTCTAGAGAAGAAATTTGTGTTCAGTTTTGATTTTCTCGTTGAACTTCTTTGGCAATTTTCTTGAATCAAAATCTTCCAGGCAATATAAACATTGTCTGATAAGTCAGATTTCAAACAAAAATGCCTTCATGAACCTTGGATTTAATTTTGTAACATAAATTTGACTTCAATAAAAAACAGATTTTACAAAGTAGTTATTTTAAAAGTTGCATCGTGTTAATACATCATAAACCAGAACTAGTCCATACGCTAAAGAAATCAGAGCAAAAGGAATAACTAAAGCAATCAGTGCCTGTTCACATTATCAGGTCTAAATGCTAAGCTGTTTTAAATAAGTTACTGGTGTATTTGATACTCTTGACACTTAAAAACTGCAGCTTGGAAACTCCCTATGTACTTAATTTGTTAAATTCCTCATGAACTTCACTATACTGACCTTCCAAAATGCAAAATTTGGTTAACAAACTCTTCATCTTTTCTGTTGTATTTTTGTTTTCCTTTTTTAGACACAAAATCAAGGTTAAACTAATTGTAGGACAGTGAGATCAGTCTTCTCTGCTTGAAGATAAAAATCCATACAGTTAGTTGAGGGCACATGTAGTACTTTATTCAATTGTGGTTTTTTTCCCTCCTTAGACCTTTTGAAGGAAATGTCTCCCAGTTTGAGAGTACCCACCAACCTAACTCTGTAGCTCCTACACTTCTTATATTTGCACTTTTCATGGCAATGTGTGATTGTGATACACACTGACACAGGGAGAAACAGTGACTGGAGCCTGTTGCACTTCATCTGTCCTCACCTGAGTAGCACATAGTCCCTCGTGGCCAGTAGCCAGCTGACACGTTTGAAGAGCCCCTGAGTCTTGGGCTATTGCTACATTTGGCTCTAGATGGTCTGGGGCATCCATCTGGAATAGGTGAGTCATTATTTTCGAGGTGTGTGAGGAGGCTCAGTCACAGCCCATCTGGTTGCCATGCAGCACAGTACCCAGCAATGCTTTTCCTTTCCTTCCCTTCCTCTGCTCTGCTACAATCAACCAGAGTGAATCTGCTGAACATTTGGAGTTGCAAAGGGGAAGCAGCTGTGGAGAGCTCCAAGTTCCCAGAAGAGCTTCTCTCTGGGCTGCAACAGGGAGACAGATGGAGAGCTGAACTCATGTTCCCTTCCCTAGTGAATGCGATGATTCAGACATTTCAATTAAAAAAAATTGCAGGACGTTGTCAGGGAATACATTTTTCTTATATGACAAAACGGATTTTCTTTTTTTTTAACCCACTCACTCTTGGATGTTGTAACTTAAAACCTCAGGGACCATAGAAATTACTGTAAATTAATTTCAAAGTACAGGACAGAAATGTATGTATCATCAAGGGCAGAACTTGCTTGTTTTGTAGAAGCATTATGAAGCACTGTGGTGTTGGGATCAGAAAAACAAGAAATGTTGAGAGTCAACAGTGCAGAGAAGGCAGTGTTTGATGATGGGAATTGGTGGTACAGGTACAGTTGTACAGGTTAAACTACTTTCTTGTACATGGCACATAAAACTTCTGATTTTATGCAGAATGTGTAATGTAAAAGTAATGATCTGTGAAGAATAAGCTGTCTTGATGTAAGGTACTTACCCACTAGAGTACAATGAGACTCACAGTCCCTTTGCTCTGGAATTAGTTACCTCAATACAGTGCTTGCCACTAATGCTTATTCTTGTAGACAAAATCCATTTATTTTATAAACTGGATAATCAACCATCTGACAACCATCTATCTTTTTTTAAATCAAAATGAACAGTCTCCTCAAAAACCTATCATCATGCTGTTCAACTGATTTTTAAAAATGTCTGACTTGCCGTTTTCAAGTAGTCTTTGTATATATTTTCTGCTTTATTTTCACTGCCTACTGTGTGTCATATTGCTCCATTTCTAGTGTTACTTCAAGATCAATTTTAGTTTTAATGAAGTATTTACAACAGCACATGCTACAGATTCTTGAAACATTATTTCTGCTTTGTTTCTGGCAAAAGTTAGTTTGGAAGAGAGGCAAAGTATCATAATTAAAGAGTCTGTATCTTAATTCTTAAGAGAATTGCACAGTTTCTTTGATGCTTACGTGGTTATTCAGCATAATAAATTAGAGTGGCTCTTGACTGTGTAATGTTTGACTTAGGTGGAAATGCTTTTCCCAAATTTATAAACTTATTTGGACTGATTAGGGCAGATTCATTTTACTTGGTTTAGGTGTCTACATATTAGCCAATTAATGTCGGCCCTCAAAGGTTTATTAACCTTTGCAGAGAAACAGCATTTCTACAACATGAACTATCCCTTCATAGCGTAGAGAGCTGTATGGCAGAGATAATTGTGCTATACAAGTACCTGTTCCTCTGTGTTAACTATAGAGGGAGCTTGAGGTGACCAGCTCAGACCTACATGTCTAAAGTTGGGTGACATGAAGTGAGAACAGTTGAAAACTTTGATGATATTGTGTAACACTAAGAGAAAACTGACCTACTTTCCCTATGCAGCCAGACTGCTTGATCTCATTTTGATCTTCAGTTTTGTATGGTTTTGGTGCTAAGAGAGTTCAGAATTCATGCACAAGTGTTAATTTTACAGATTATGTGGTAGGGAGCCTGAAGGTCTAAGAAAGTAAAGTCCTGTATTCTGGTGAAGGAGAAGACTTTTTAAAAACTGACTTTAAATGTTCAGATATGTTGTGATATTTTTCAGGGTGGAGATCTAGACTTTAAAATTCAAGAGTACAAAGAATCTGGGAAGATTTTCACTCAAAGACAAATAATAGACTGGTTTATACAGTTGTTACTTGGAGTCGACTATATGCATGAAAGGTACAGTCATTTAATATGAGAGCATTTAGTTTGGGAGGGGAGTGAGCAGACTTACTGACTTGTTTCAGATATTCTAACAGAAACAAAACCATATGGATTGTCTTGTATTGTATGGATTGTCTTGTATCACGCCTGGTCCCCTTCCCATGTCATCCAGTGCTGTCATTGAGTGCTGTCACCTTTGAGGTAGGTGGGACTATTTAGCATCGTGTGAAGGACACTGAGTGCTGTCGTGAGCCAGGAGGAGAAGGCACTGAGAGCTGGAGGAATGGCTGAGCAAATGGGAATACCAGGCTCCTTTCCCAGCAGCTTTTCAGAAGTAGCAAGTCAGTCGAAGTTGACCTGGCCTTCAGCATCTTCTCCTTTCCTCTGACTCCTCCCTGTTGCTTAAGCCTATTGGCAGCTCTGAAATGTCACATTAATGAACAAGACAGAGAATCTTTTCTAAAGAGCATTGTAGCCCGGAAGTCCAAGATTTTTCATTCTGCCAAAGCTGAACTATTTAGACTATTATTCCTATTGAACTTTTAGAAATAAGAATGTAATTGCTGCAAGGACTGTCTTAGCAGATGCTAAGGATGTTTGTCTGTAATCATCTGCATGTTTTAGGGACATGAGCTAATCTGCCTAAAATAATGGCCTAAATTATCAATACAGCTTGAGGGGGGGTTGTGTGTGAGGGTGTTTATGTTTGAAAAGTAGCTTAGACTCAGAATCTGGAAATGAGAATTCAGTCTTTTTTCAAGCTGAATGTAAACTAGAACCCATAGCCTTCTATCCTACATGAGTACTGAGAAAACATTATTATTCACTGGGTTGAGGGTGAAAACACCAAAGAGATGCAGGTGTTTCAAGTATCTTTCACAGCAGGACTTGAGCCAAATATGGTTGCCTGAACTTGAGTTGCAGCAGAGCAGCAGGTAGAGATAAGTCACCAGTCACTAAGAACAATCATTTCTGAGTTTAGCTGAAGGTAGGTGTGTGGGATACATTTGGCTCGTAGATACCTGATGATTTTTTGCACCTAGTGTCAGATTGTAGAGGGAAAAGGACAGAGTGAATTGCTGTCCAGGGTGCAAGAGAATTTTGTGTCCTAAATGCCAATTTATTTGAGGCTTATATATGAATTGGTGCCCCCACAGAGTGCAGTGGTGGGAGCACAGTGATGAGACCTCTTTTGGGATGCTGTTGTGCTCTTCAGCATTCAACTCAGGCCAAAAAGGACAAAGCAAAATGAACTTAAAAAAATCCAGATTTTTTAAAAAAATCTATGATTTTTTTGTTGCTGTTGTTGGGTTTGTTGTTTGTTTTGTGGTTTTTTGTGGTTTTGTTTTGATTTGATTTTTTTCTTTCTTGAACTACATGTTAACAATTTATAACTAAATGTTTTAGTAATCTGAAGAAGTCCACTTTTGGTGAAATCCTTTCTTTAATGTATGTATTTAGAGGATGCATTGTGCAGACTAATGCAGAATAATAACATTGCATTTGGACTAGATGATCACTGTAGGTCGCTTCCAACTGAACTATTCTATTGTGTAAGTTATTATATTTGTCTTTAATTTTCTGTATATTTCCTCATGCCTATTATCGCTTGTTTTCCCATGCATCCCTTTTGTCTACTCTTCTCTCTACTTTTCTCATCTTCTACTTGTTCAAAGTAAATATTTTTTTTAAAGTTTATTGATAAAAAAACTATCTTTGGTAAATAGGTGTATTACATTACTGGGTTTTCTGAAAAGTGGTTTTATTCTCCAGTGAAAGCAGCAGTTTGATTTTTCAAACAGTATTTCATTTTCTCTCTTTGAATCATAGCTTTTAAATAGCACCACTCCAGACATATACAAATGACTTGACATTTTTATTTTTATTTTCATTCCCTGTATTGTATTAGGTATTATTTGACTGTAAGCACATTAGAAAATTTAATTTTTATCTTATTAGTTTAGAGCCAAACAACATCTTAAATGTAAAAGATTAGGCTTAAATAATTTAAAACTACTTACAGAAACTAATTTGAATTACTGAAACATAATAACAGTCCTCTGTTTATGTATAGAGCAGTCATACATGATTTCTTCTTTACTGATATGGAAAAAAGCTGTAATATAAGTTTGAACTGTGTTCTAATGCAAAGAAAACTTTTCCCTAGAATTAGAAGCTTAAAGTGTTCACTACCTGTGGGCTGGATTTCCTCATGCTATTACCTAAAAATTCCATGTGCTGTGGATGGGAGTTTTTATCCCAGAGCAGCAAAAAATACTGTTTCTGGTTTTAGGCATAGACTATTCACTCGGTTGTCTTTCTTGCACAGTTTTAGTTGAACTTCTGCACTTCTTAAACTCTTATGCTGGAAACTTATTTTAAAACAGGACTTTTTCATTGCCTCAGATTATTCGTTGTTGTTGGTTTTTTTTCCTGTGGTAATAAAGATTATACAGATTAGACATTTCTCTTTTACTTATGCTTCATAAATCCCAAAGGGAACATGAGTATCTTGTGCTCATTATGCTATCTACTGGCTATTTTGCATAATTGGAAAGACTTTTTAATTTTAAACTTAAAAGCTAGATTATCTATAATTAGATTCACTCCTCATCTGTCATTGATACAACCAGAGAGAGACGTAAAGCAGAGGCAACATAATTCAGTGGTTTTGTCTAGATGGAGACTGCATGAAACCATAATTTAGTCTCTTTGGCATAATTGTAGCCCATTGCACATCAGTGCACATAATTAATCCCAAAGCAATCCAGCAATGAGGCCATTGATTTGTTTAACCTCAATTTGAACAAAGCTGACCATTACATTATCCACCACTTTGCTAATCTTTATGAACAATACGCCAACACATAGGATTTTATGAGGTTACAATTTACTCAAACAAATCTATTGCTTTCAATCTACAGGATAGTAGGCTTTGCTCAAGCACTTTATCTGGATATCCCGTTGTCTTCTCTACTACAGGATTCAGACTTACACAGAACCTCTTACTTCTCTAATTAGCTCTTCAGATAGGGGAAAGAGAAATTAATTGCTGAGCATTTCACAGCTGTAAACTACTTCAGCTTTAATCAGCTTCACTTGCTGATGTGTTGCAGAGGAAGCTTTATTCAGGGAGGCTGCCCACTGCTCAGTGCTTCATGCTGCTTTTTTATGACTATGACACAGCAGGCAGGTACTCTACAGAACTTAGGTATGGGTGTATTTATAGCCTAAATTTGAAACTATCCTTAAGTGTTAATTTCTACCCAAAATATCAATAACCTCGTCACTGACTGTCAAGTTAGATTAAGTTTTGTTGAATCCCAGTTAATTCATGTTACCTTCATAGGTCTATCTCTTGCTACAACAAA